TGGAGGGTGTGTCCCTTCCTTTTCCTGTGCATTCACCAGATTCTCAGCACCATTTGGTCCACCCAGGGCTGCACAGAGACCAGGAGGCCGTGGGGCAGGGACCCACCTTCCTGAGAAGCCAATCATGGTTTCTGTAGAACCGGGGCCTCGTTTCATTGCCTCTTGGGGTCGGCTTTGCTCTGAAAGTGGGGGTGGGAACAAAAGTGCAGGCTTGGGGCTGTGACCCGGCATGTGGGTCTGATCTCTGTGGTTTGGATGAGGAAGTGTGGGCAACTGGATTTCCCCCAACACATGCTCAGGGCACTCACTCAACCCAGATGGCATCAGCGTCTACCCTGGGGGGTCTGACCCTCTCCAGTGGCAGATCACCCTTCTCTTCCTGCACCCCATGTTTGTTTGCTGGAGACAGGACCGCTGTCCCAGCAAGCCAGGATGGAGCGCAGACCCTTCACCTGCTGGAAAGACCCCAAGAGGATGGGTCTTGGGGTTTGGGGGTTTGTGGGGCTTGGGTGGCTGCCACATTGCCATCCTGTCATCCTAAAGTGTTTTTCAGCAACTAAATAATCTCACACCACGTGGAGAATGGACTTCTCTCTCCCCACTCTAACCGAACAGGACCCTGTAGGGGAACAGATCCCCACCACCACCACCCTGCAATGTCCTCCGCATGCCTTCTCATTTGTAGAAAAGCTTTAGCCTCCGAGGCCTTCCGAGTTCCAAAGAATACATTTAATCAGAGAAGTGAGAAAATGCAGGAAGAAAGGAAAACAGTCAAGTTAGACAAAATTATAATAGTTTGGCCATAAAACAGAGTCAAGGACTTTAGTTCCTCCTCAAGGGCTGTAGATCATATTCTGAGCTGTATCCTGTGGGCTGTTTTGCAGATACTGAAACCTCCACCAGGTGGGAGAAGTTACCTTCGTATGCTGCTCACCAGCATGGAGACGCCAGACCAGCTGGGACCAGAAGGTTGATGATGTGGACTCCCGATGACCTCGCCACCAACCACTCAGAAGAATGTCCACCAGCTGATCACACAGCCCACAGCTCCACTCCCTCACTGTCTTTAAAACCCTTTCCCTGAAAGCCATCAGGGAGTTTGGGTCTTCTGAGCACCAGCTGCCTGGACTCCTTGCTTGGTGCCTGCAATACACGCTGTACTTTCCTTCACCACAACCCAGTGTCAGTAGATTGGCTTTACTGCACGCAGGCGAGTGGACCCCAGTTTTGTTCGCTGGGGACAGGATGGGGCACATCTCTCAGATGAAAACCCTAGAAGATGAAGATCAAGCAGGGTGGGTCCAGCATCAGGCATGCAGGTGGCTCCAATGGGGCTGTTTGTCACCCTCCTAATGCCTTGTGGGAATTAAGGGGCACCAGGGGCCATTTGCCATGGAGCCTCTGAACTTCCCAGAGCTGGTACCTTGTCTACACTGCAGCCAGTCCTGGGGTCCGTCTGTGTCAGAGGCAAACCAAGAAGCAAGCTGAGGATGTAGAGAAATCGGAACACTCATGTACAGTGGGTGGGAAGGCGAAATGGAGCAGCCACTGGGGAAAACAGTCAGCAGATCCTCAGGAAGATGAGTCCATTTTCCCCACCAGGCACACACAGACCACGTCCCACCAACACATGGGGTTCACGAATGGCCCTATGTTAACCCCCCGCGTGTGGCCTCTGCACAGGGGACTTCGCCGTTCCACCACAGGGGCCACAGAACAGGGCTCCAAAACTCAGCCCTCAGACCTGATCTGGCCCTCAACCTGCTTTTGTAAATAAAGTTTTATTGGAACAGTGCTGGGTCCACCACACTGTTGTGGTGTCAGCACCACATTGTTTATTACAATGGCAGAGTCCAGTGATCTCAGCAGACACCACATGGGGCTCAAAGCTTAAATATGTACCTGCTTCCCCGCTACAGACAAAATATTCCAATGTGTGTTCACCACAGGTCTACACTCCAGGGCAGGGTCTCTGACGCCTTCAGCCCATTCTTCAGCCCATCAGGATTCTGAGGTATTGGCTGCATCATTTAAAAAACTTCTTTCTTGGCATGGGTCTGCCTTAGACCTGCACACTTTGGAGCTGATGGGACAGCGGATTCAGGTAAACTCCACCTGGTCTGTTTAGAGATGAGAGAATTGACCTTAGGATGGTGAAGTTAATCACTCAGCATCCTCTGTATGGCTGGGGCAGCATCCTGTAGATAACGATCCCATCCACCATCTCCTGGACCAGGTGGTTCTTTCTCCACATGACTTCATAAGACCTCTCAACCTCACGGCCACACCTGGGCACACCTGAGCCCTGTGGCCCAATCCACCTGCCCCCTTTCCCACGCACGGTGCCCATTTCCCATAAGGAACTCCATCATGGCCCCTCCAACCTGACCACCTCCGCAGGAACCTTGTAACGGTTTCCTGAAATCAGCCGTGGACACCAGGGAAGAATTCCTCTCGAATCTGCCTTCCAGTGAGTCAGCCCCCTTAGAGGCTGAACTTTGTCCTCCCCAGCCCCACCTCCCAAAAGTTACTTTGGATTCCTCAGCCTTGATGAGAAAGGATGGTTTTGAAAATGGAAATCATGTGCAAACTCACCAGGTGGAACCTTTAGATATCAGGGGTGATGGGCAGAATTGTGTCCCCCTCCTCAAATTCTTTTTTTTTAATATAAATTTGTTTATTTTATTTATTTATTTTTGCCTGTGTTGGGTCTTCATTGCTGTGTGCAGGCTTTGTCTAGATGCAGCGAGTGGGGGCTTCTCTTGTTGTGGAGCACGAGCTCTAGGCGTGTGGGTTTCAGTAGTTGTGGCACACAGACTCAGCAGTTGTAGCTCGCGGGCTCTAGAGCACAAGCTCAGTAGTGTGGCGCTTGGGCTTAATTGCTCCGCAGCATGTGGGATCTTCCCGGACCAGGACTCAAACCCGTGTCCCCTGCATTGGCAGGTGGATTCTTAACCACGGCGCCACCAGGGAACTCCAGACACAGGGTCTTTATGGAGGTGATCAAGTTAAGATGAGGTCATTAGGTTGGGCCTGATCCCATAGGACTGGTGTCCTTATAAGAAGAGGAGATCAGGACACAGACACACACAGAGGGACGACCACGTGAGGACACAGGGAAGAGACGGCTGTCTACACGCCCAGGAGAGAGGCCTCAGGAGGAACCAGCCCTGCCTATGCCTGGATCTCAGATTCCAGCCTCCAGGACTGGGAGACATAAATGTCTAACGTTTAAGCCACCCTGTCTGTGGTGTTTGTTATGGCAGCTGAGCTGAGCTAACACAGACGCTTTCAAACACAAACCAGAGAATAGCGCATGGAAGCCCATATACCTTCACCCAGTTCCAATCATTACCCACAACGTACTGACCTTTTAAATTCTCCTCTGACAATTATGCCCAGCACATGTGCACCATTGTCCTTTCTTTTCTTCCGTTTTACATTTGGGCCATTTAAAAAGAAACAGAGACTTCCCTGGTGGTGCCCAGAACCGTAGCAGCCCGGGGCCACGTCCTCTCTGAGGGGCCAACCCACCACCATTAGCTGTGAACTTGCAACATGGGAGAACCACAGTCTATAGAAGGATGAGATGTATAAATCGATGGATGGACTGATGGATGGTAGATACAGATAGATGATAGATACACAGTGAGATGCTGGATGGATAGATAGATAGGTAGATAGGTAGGTAGATAGATGGATAGTTAATAAGTGGTGATAGATACAAGGATGGATGGATAGGTAAGCAGACAGATGGATGGATAGATGGATAGATAGATAAAAAGCGGTAATAGATGCAAGGATGGATGGACGCATGCATGAATGGATGGATGGGTAGGTAGGCAGACTGATGGATGGGTGGGTAGACAGATAGAAGAATGGGTGGAAGGTTATGTGTGTGCATGGGCAGGCAGATAGATAAATAAATGATTGATAGAAAAGTGACTGATACATACATGTGAGATAATAGGTAGATGATGCATAAATAGATACAGACAGATGACAAACAGAAACAGATAATAGATAGATATGATGATATATATAGATATATAGATAATAGATAGATAATAGATAGATATGATGATGGATAGACAGATAATAGAAATCAAAGACAGATAGAAGACAGATGATAGGTAGATAACATCATCTGATATCTAAAGATCACTAATAGGTAGATAATAGATAAATATAGAGATAGAAAGATTGATGGATGGATATATGTCATCAGGCAGGCGTATTGATGGATAGATATAGATAATTGATGATAGTTATAGAGATAGAAGATAAGTAGAGAATTGATAGGTAGATAATAGATCAATATATAGATATAGACGATAGATACATGATAGAAAATATAATTAAATGATAGATAAACATAGATACAGGTATAGAATGTAAATAGATGATCGATCGACAGACAACAGATGCCTAGGGGTACATACATCCTCCATACTCTGTAAATAGATGACCCTGGATTTCCCCGGGAACAGCGTTTCCATATTCGCGAATTCATCATCCCCATGACTTCCCGGCACACAACCTCTGAGAATCACCACCCTCCTTCCCCCTTCCAAGTGACCCCGGGGCGCCAGGGCTGGACCTTGGTTCGGGGGTGGGGGGTGGGGGTGGGCTTTCGAGCAGCTGCCCCTTTCCGATGACAGCGCGCCTGGCTGTGAAGTCATCATCCTCACCTGCGCACGTGCGCCCCGCCGGCCACCCAGCTCCCTCTCTGCCCTAGAGGACGCGGTCCGGGAGGCGTGAACCCCGCTCCATCGGGGGTGGGTGGGTGGATGGGGAACATGTGTCAGGGGCACGCCCCCCCGGCCCCGCCAGGGCAGTGTCCGGGCAAGTGTCACCGGGCGGGTCACCTTCTGGCTGCAAGACCAAAAGAGGTCGCCAGGCACCCAGCTTTCGCCTGCAAGAGGAAGACAGTTCGCTTAGCATATTTTTAAAACTTAAAAAAAAATTAAAATCCCAGGCATTTATTTGTTCCGTCTGGGAATCCACTTCAGGTCACCGCCAGCTACACCATCGGACTGGGCCCTCCCTCCCGGCCCGGTCTGCAGGCAGCAAACCCTTTCGGAGAGGCAGGGTCCCCCCGCAGCCGCCTCGGGACAGGACGAGCCCTGAGGTCGCGGCTCTGGGGGCCGGCACCCCGCCCCCGGCAGGGCGCGCGCTGATAGGACGGGGACCGGCGGGTTTGGACTACGGGAGCGAGCAGACAAACAGACGTTACACAGGAAATTTCAAAACGGGTTTCCTCTCCACCTGCCCTGGGTCTCCACAGCAGCCTCCGGAGCCCGGCAGGGGGACCTTGGAGGATTTGCAGCCGGCGAGGGTGCAGCCGGCGCGTCATGCCCCGCGCGCACCTAGCCCGAGAGACGGCGGGGATGCTGGCACTGGGGCTGCGTCCCGACACCCACCCCGGCTCCTTCGTGGGCAGCGGGACGCCGCTTCCCGACACCAGGCCCTGAGGCACAGCTGCTGCGTCTTCCGATCCAGTCCCGGCGGCGTCTACACTGCAGACGCGCACCGCTACAGCAGCCCCGGCCGTTCCAGGTGCGTTCAATGCCCGCTCTTTATTGACGTGCGTTGTCTGCAACAGGGAGCGTCGCGGGGGGGGGGGGGGTGGCAGCGGGGGGGGGGGGGGGGGGGGGGGGGGGGGGGGGTCTTACGGGGTGAGAGCCTGGGAGGCGGGCTGCGTGCGTTCTCGTCTCCGCGGTGCAGACAGAACAGGAAAACCTGTAGAAAGACACGCACGGCCACTTGGCGGGGAGGCGCTCGGGACACGCTCTCCTGTGCAAACTCCTTCAGGAAACCGCACCTGCGTACAGGTGAGCGCTGAAGGCGGCCAGGCACGAGGGAGGACGGGAGGCTGAGCCTGGAACGGTTCCGGCCGCTGAGGGCCCCCCGTGAGACCTCAGATCAGCTCTCAGGCCCCGGCTCACCCAGAAACCCGAGTTCTAGGTGCATTTTACAAACCGTCCCAGACGAGCCTGGGGAGCAGGGGCGCCGCACTCGCGGGCTGGCGGCGGCCCCGGGGATTCGCGGCCGTGCACACCAGCCGTCTGCACCCTTCGGATCACGCCCGGCCAAGAGGAATTACGGAGCGTGTGGTTCCGCTTCCAAAGCGAGATGGGGTTTTTTTCTGCCGTCTGTCATGGTGTCACGTGCGCTCAGCGTGTGCGGTCAGAAGCGGGGCCCCGGACAGGAGCCAGGAGGAACCAAGATCCGGAGGGCCGCCCCCGCATGGCCGCGTAGGAAGCCCCTTGAGCGGCTGGATTTGAAGGGGGCAGCTGGGCCGGACGTGCGCGTGTATTCTCCGTTTAAGATGCTTCCACGGCGCGAGAATGGTGTTTTCATTTGCTGGGGCGTTGCCCAGGCCAGCGTTGGTGGAGGGAGGGGCCTTCAACCCCTGGGCGTTGTCCCTGAGTCCCGGCGACCCCCTCCCCCTCCAGGAGGAAGCGGGCCATGGGAAGAGCCAGGAGGACCCTCCAGACCTGGGCTGTAGTTTCTGAAATATCCCCGCTCAGCCACAGGGACCGAGGAGGGCGCAGGGGCAGGACCACCCTCGACAGGCCACCTGAGACCCCCGGCCAACCCTACGGAGGCCTGTGCTGTCACCTTAGGGACAGGGCAGGGGGTGTGGGTGGTGACGGGTTAGCGACAGAATGGCGGTCTCCAGGGTGCGGCTTCTCACCCAGCCCTGTGCCTGTCTGCGCCCCGTCCGTAGGTGTGGCCACCAGCCGGCAGAAGCGGGGGCCTGCCGCCCACACCCCTGTTCTGGCCCGGAGACAAGGGGCTGGGCGTGCGGGATACGGGGAGCCCCATGCTCCCCTGACACCTCGCCCTGCTCCCTGACCGCTGGCAGCTGTCCAGGCCCCCGGCGCCGGCCACAGACCCACCCCCCCCAGGGCCAACACCGCACCGCGGGGAGGCATGACCTGGCGAATGAGCACACAGAGGGGCTGCAGGGTGGGCTCCCCCAGTGCGTCCCCTGGGGTCAGCACTGGGAACCCCCAGGGAAAATTCTGCAGCCGTGTCCACACCCTCCTGGCTGGACAGACAGACCCATGGATGCAGGGTCTGCCTTATTCTAGGGAAAGCCATGCGTTGAAAGGCAGCTGGTGACTGGGTTTGCTTTTGAGCCATGCGGGGAACTCGGGTGGCCATGTTCCTGCCGGGACCTGGGGGCGGGTGTGTACTTGCTGTGACCTCTGGAGGCCACGTCTGTGCCGGGACCTTGGGGGCCACATCTGTCCTGGGCCCTCGGAAGACTGTGTATCTGCTGTGACCTCAGGAGGCCTCGTCTGTGCCGGGACCTTGGGGGGCTGTGTCCATGCTGGGACCTGGGGGCCACATCAGTGTGGGCGCCTGGGTGAGGGAGCAACGCCTGCCGTTCTGTGCAAGTTTTCCTGCTGGGGGTAAGGTGGCCAGGCCTGAGGGGCAGAAGCTGGCTCTCTCCGTCCCAGGCTCCTTGGCAAAAGGAGGGCAACATGCCAGAGCCAGGGCGTCTGTGGATGGGTGCTGTGAACCAGAACTGTGTGTGCATCGACCCCAATGCACACGCTGCCCGTGGACCGTCTCCTCCAACCCTAACCTCGCCGCCATCATCCCCACATCCCAGGTGGGGAAACTGAGGCTGGAACTCGGCCAAGCACACGGCGCCTCTGAGGGGCCGAATGGGAAACTTGCACCGACTTTTGCCCTCCAGGGCCCTTTTACCTAACTCAGTGTCCAGCCGCTGGCCTGGACACTTGATGCAGGCAGTGGACAAGGCACCCTGTGCCTGTCGTGGTGCTGAGCACTTCCGGGGAATAGAAAGACCACACAGGGAGATGCAGGCCACGAGGCTTCAGGGCGGGAAGGAATCCAGGAGGCCTTCCTGGAAGAGGAGGCATTTGCCGGGGCTGAGTGGGACAGCTGGGAGAGCAGGGCTGTGGCAGAAAGGATGTCATGAATGGGAGCGGGGTGGGGGGGAATGGGGGGTGTGTTCTGGGTGGAGGGAGGCTTGGGGCGCATTGGACAGAATGGTCCCGGGAGGATGGTGAGACTTTAGCGGCTGGCCCAGAAAAGCTGTGGAAGCTTCCGACATGGCTGGCGATGCTGGACTGTGCTTTGGAAAGAGCTCTGGGCAGGGCCGTTGTGCCGGAACAGGGGTGTCAATGGGGTCAACGGTGTCCTGAACGGAAAACAACTTAGGGGTGGAATCTGTGCTTCGCTGACCGATGACGGGGCCAGACAGGAGGTAGGGACCGAGGTGGCGCATGGCTGGGGAGAGGGTGGTGTGGACCAGGCAGGGCAGAGGGGTGGGCCGGGCTGTGTGTGTTGCGGGTGGTGCTGGCCTGACCCCCAGGGAGGCTCATGAATGGGCAGGGGGCTGAGAGTGTGGACCCTGGGCTTTGAGTAGTCATGGGGGTGGCTGGGCGTTGTTTATGGGGGCGCAGCATGAGCATGGGACCCCTGACAGAAGGAGGGGGTGCAGGAAGAGAGGGGCGAGGGGGTCTTGGGGAAGAATCAAGGGTCACATTTACAGGGTCAGGACCCATCTTCTGTGATGTGGCACGAGTGACCCTGGGGCTGGGTGGTCCTGTTGTGCAGTGTGGGATGTGGAACAATCTCCCCGGTCTCCACCCATCAGGTGCCAGGAGCTCCCTCTCCCCCAACCAGAAATGTCCCCAGACATTGTCACATGTCCCCGGGTGGGAGGGCAAAGTCACCCCTGATCACTCACCACTGATAGATGAATAGATGACAGATAAATGACAGGTAAATAGATAAATTAGATGATCGATAAATAGATGATTGGTAGATAGATGATACATCAATTGACATGACTGACGGATAGACAGATGAGTAGATGTTAGGTAGGCAAATAGATTATAAATAAATTAGGTAGATAATAAATAATTGATTGATGGATGGTAGACAGATGACCGCTGATGGATGGGTAGATAGACAAGTAGGAGATTTTTGACTCATAGATAAATACATAGAAAATAAATGATAGAAACATAGATGATAGATTGACGGATGGACGGATAGATAATAAATTATAGGTATAGACAGAGAAATATAGATACATAATAGAAAAATAGAGATAGATGATAGATAAACAGATGGTAGTTCGATTAATTGATTGGTAGATAATAGATGGATAGATAGACGGATAGATAGATAGAAGGCTCTCAACTCATACTACTGGCATTTTAGACAGGATAATTCTCAGGGTGTCCTACACACTGTAGAGTATTAAACAGGATCCCTGGTTTCTACCCACCCGATGTCAGTAGCAGCCCCACAACGTATGACACCCCCAAACTGTCCCCAGATATTATCAGGTGTCCTTTGGGGGGCAGAACTGCCCCCAATTCAGAACGACCCGGAAAAACACAAGAAGGGTCAAGGGACAGTGCAGCCAGAGGGCTGGGGGGATAAGCAGGGCCAGGTCCCATCTCCCCGGTCTCAGGGAGAGAACCAGACTGGGTCAGGGCATCCTGGGCCACTTTCTCCCTTGTCTCAATCTTATCTGTGCGCTCCTGTTCCTATAAGATAATAATTAAAGTTAAAAAGACCCTGTGATAGGCACAGAGATCATGTGTATAGGATAAACAAATATCCCTCTGGCAGGCCACGTCCCAGGGCAAATGGGTCAGGATTTAATCCCTACCAGTCCACAGAAAGGGCCCCGACTTGAGCATGTGTCATCCCTGTCCCGTGGGATTATCTGCCCGAGAACAAAACATGGGCTCCAACAAGTGGCATTTTTCTGACAAACCAGGACCAGTAGGAAGACTCTTCGTAATATCCTGTGCTATAAAGGGAACAGAGGAAGTGGGTGGATTAGGTGATGCAGCTCCCAGCTGCCTGGTCACTCCCTGCCGCAGGCGTTGCCCATCTGCCACTCGCATCTTCTCCTGCGAGTACCCTGCCACCGGAGGCGCCGGTCTCCAGGTTTTTACGTGAAACATGCACGTGTGCCAGCGGTGGGATGGGCAAGGCCATCTCTGCACTCCGGACGGGGCAGACCAGCCAGCAGGCACGTGGTGGGATAGGATCAGAGATAACCCCTCAGGCACAGCCACAGGAAACAAATGGGCTGGGTGCCCGCATGAGCTGTGACCTTGTAGGTGAGGGGCCAGCATGAATCAGCATGAGCTCACTGACGCTTTGTTGGATGATGGATGGATGGATGGGTGGGTGGGTGGATGGTAGATGGATGGATGGATGGATTGACGGATGGATGGATGGATGGATGGATTGAAGGATGGATTGATGGATAGACGGGTGGATGGGTGGAGGGATGGAGGGATGGATGGATGGGTGCGTAGATAGACAGATGGATAGATGGATGATGAATGAGTGGACAGATAAAACAGGAGATGAGACTGGTTCCCCATGAATTCCCCTGAATTAGTTTCCTGGGACAGCCATACAAATTACCACACACTGGGCGGATTGAGACAACATAATTTTATCCTCTCACGTTCCAGAGGCCAGAACTCCAAGATCAAGGTTTCTGCAGGGCTGCGTTCCCTCCGGGGCTCCAGGGGAGGGTC